GAGCGCACGCGAGGGGGGGGGGGGGGGGAGAGGGGGAGAAGAGACAGACTTCTTGAGTCCCCCACAAGTTCAATTAATCCATTAATCTACATTTAACATCCCTCCCACAGGTCTGACCTGCCCCACAGGTTCCCTCAAATGCAGTCTTGAGAGGCCAGGGACTCCATGGGCCCTGAGAACTCAGCCATGCTTATGCCTAGCCACCCCTCCCACTCAGGAGTGAGGCAAACTGGCAGGATCATGGGGGAGTCTGTCCTGCGGCTGCCGCCCATGTTGTACCTGTTCTTGGCACAAAGGGGGGCTCTCATACCAGACCCCTCTCCTGGGTCAGAGAGAAGAACCAGGCCTTGTTGCCAATGGAAGGAGCAGATCCACCTGGAGGGGGTTTGCGATGTGGCGGGAGAGATTGCCCACCCCAGCAAGAACCCAGTAACTGAACAAAGACTTTTATTTCAATTACAATTAATAAACTATCAAACCGGGACGTACACGAGTTACTGGACAGGCCAGCACTGGTCAGCAGCTGCCCCTTCCCTCCCTCCAAAAACCTCTCCCAAACAATTCCAACTTCCAACTGATTTGCCTTCGCCTCCATTCACATTACTCACCAGCTACCCAGTCACTGAGCTGAGCATCCCAACACTCACTTGGATCAGGACCACAGTCACTGAGGGGTGACGAGCACCCAAAGTCATCACAGTACAGGCCAGCACTGGTCAGCAGCTGCCCCTTCCCTCCCTCCAAAAACCTCTCCCAAACAATTCCAACTTCCAACTGATTTGCCTTCGCCTCCATTCACATTACTCACCAGCTACCCAGTCACTGAGCTGAGCATCCCAACACTCACTTGGATCAGGACCACAGTCACTGAGGGGTGACGAGCACCCAAAGTCATCACAGTACGTTCCAGCTTACACAGCTTCTCCCAGTACGGCAGCGTAGTGTCCAGTCAGCTACTTCTGACAGGCCTGGCGCACACCTGCCTTCAAAAGGGCCCCTTGCGAACAAGCCAAACTGCTGGCTTCCAAATGCGGGACCAGCACCACGTGACCAGTCCTAGACGGGCATGTCGCCACCAACCAAAGCCAACGGGCATTTAAAAGGGAAGGGGAAATTTGGGACTTACCTCTGGCAAGGCCGCACGGGAGCAGGAGAACGACCAGCTTACCCTGGCCATGCTCTGGGTACTTGGGCCCAGTCACCCCTCTGAAGGGTGCCTTTGCGCAGAGTACGTGAACACCCCCAACCGGATCCAGTTACTTCCCAGGATCCTTGCCCCATTCTCAGGGACCATCCTCGGGCGCCGGAGTCAACGAAAGCTTTGCAGTTGACTGCCCCAGGAGCAAGGCTGGCCCTCAAGCTAAAGCCTTTGCTGAGAATTCCTTAAACTGGCCCAAACTGTCTTGGGTTTAAAGGAGTCGTCATGACAGCGGCTGATTTCTACACCGCTCTGCCCCTCCACTGACCAGCAAGCACCTCCCTATGTAATACAGCTACGGTGCGCAAGAGCAATTGTACTGGCAGGGGGACACGGGGATCGCCTCAAGGAGGCAGTCGACAGACACCTTGTGAAGCGAGGGGGCACTGTGCGCTGGTGTTAAGGACTAGCTTGAAAGGGCATGCAGCTCTCAGCAACGCTAACAGAGCTTTTCCAGCCGCAGAGAGGAAATGGAGACACTCACGTGTCCATGCAGCTTTCATTGGGTCACACGCCCCGCCTAGCGATTGCCCTGCCTGCTGCCGCCACTGCGCCTGCGTCCAGAGACGCTTCCATTTCGCAAGGAAGCTACTAACGGAGAGGATGCCGTTAAACGTCACGGAACGTGTCTAGCCAAGCAGAGGCAGAGGTGTAGGCACGCTGCACTCTGGGGGCATTAGCTAGGGGAGCAAACCCTTCCATCGGGAGGGTGGGCGACTCACAGCCCAGGCGATGAGGTCTCCCAGGGCAACATGGCAGACCAAGAACTAGCTCACACTAGGATAACACAGACACACTGTCCTTGCCACGTTCCAGCCGCCTCCCCCTGGCAGCGCTGAATTACTGGGCAGGCTCATAAGCGGTCGCTCCCTCCACCCTGCTGCCAGAGCACGGACGCTGACCATGGGGGATTTACACAAATTCTGTGAAATCGTCCACCGAGGAGATCAGCCTCTTCCTCTGCCCAGTTTCATAGGTGGGTGCCGAGTCCTGAGGAACCTGGGGAGGGGGCTTGGGAGCAGCAGAAGGGTGCATCTGCATCAGGGGGAAACCAGGGGTCTGGTGGGTTTCCTCACGTATCTGAAAGAGCGTCACAGAGGAACAGGTCAGCAGGATACCTCCACAACTCCCTCTCCCTTTTTCTACTTGGGGAGGGCAGGGGAGTAGGCCCAGCTCTCCCTGCGGCCACTTGGATCTCAACCCTGCATCACACGCACAACCCGGCCAGGAGCCGGTGTCCTCAACTCCTGCTCTGGCCAATGGAAATGGAGGGATCTTCAGCCGCCTGCCACACGTCACTCTCGCCAGGGATGTTAGTGTAGATTCATTAGCTAATCGAATAGTCGATAGGATACCCATTGACTACTCGATTAGTCGATAAGGACGCTGCTGCCTTTGAACTGTAGCCACGCTCTGCCTGACTCTTGCTGCAGTTCAAAAGCGGAAGCCCGGCAGGGAGCGCGAGGCCAGCAGGGGAGTCTCCGCTGGCCCGATGTTCCCTGTGGGGCTTCTGCATTTTAAGGCACAAGAGCCCCGGCAGGGCTCTTGTACATTTCTAAAGCAGAATCGCAACAGAAGCCGCGCGAGCGGAGATTGCTTCAGTCCCCGCTCGGGCCGTTTCCTGCTGCGCCTCTACCTCCCCTGCCCCCCATGGCGACAGTGCTTTGGGAATCGGTTTTTAAGCCTGCTCCCCCCCTTGCTGCCTCTCTCTGATAGAGGCAGTGGGTGGGGTGGGGGGTGGACTAGTTGCACCACTAGTCACTTACATCCCTAACTAGAGTTTGGTTATTCTCAAGCTTTCAAGGCAGACTGCCCTCTCACTTACGACTGTCCTTGGACAGCTCCTTCTTTTCTCGGGAGATCTGTAATTGGCCTGGCTTGCGCTAAGAGTCCCAGACATGCAACACGTCAAGGAAACAACAAACTGGAATTACCCGGTGTCTGAGCCTCTTGATATGACGAAGCCTAGCGATCCATTTTGATGGGTATGTATCTGTTGGGTTGGATCTGCTATGGTGAACCTGGGAGGCCATCTGAGTCAAGGGAAAAGAGAAACGGTAAATGCAGCTCCCACGAGACAATAATAGATTGTTTACACAACATCATGTGTTTAGTCATTGAAATCCTACTCAATCTGGGATGTTCCGCTCCTAAATGTGGCCTGACTGCTTACTCAACAGAAATAGCTCTCCGAGTTGAGTTTTTTGGCCAAACTGCATTCATTCCCCTGGGGTGGCAGAAACACAGCAGCACTCGAAGAGAACAGACAGGACTCACATTGGCATGCAGGGCCATCTGGCGGGCGACAAACGGCAGGTTCTTATCCGAGACAATCTTCGCGACACTCGTGTCCACCAGCCCTTCCATGTCTGTATTTTAAAATGAAAAAAAACCCCAAAGAACAAGATTTACATTCTGTGCAAGATGGACCCTTTCAAGGACGAAAAGCCCGAATTAGCCAGTAATGTTAAGTCCTGCACAGTGATAAATTCAGCATCACAAGGCTTTTCCAGTACATGAGACATCGGAGTACCCTGCACTCACCAATCCATTCCTTCAACCCCCCCTCAAACCCCAAAAGCAGGGTCTCCAAGCTTTTTAACCACAAGCTCATTTTTCCAATTGAAGTGCAATGTAAAATCTACCTCAGACCCAAATACCCTTGCCCTGCTTCCTTCCCCCTCCGAGGCCCTGCTCCTCCTCCACCTTGCTCACCCCATCCCCCTTCCTCCCCAAACCTTATTCACTTTCACCAGGCTGGGGTAGGGGGTTGGGGTGCAGGCTCTGGTCTTGGGCCAAGGGGTTTGGAGTATTGGAAGGGCTCCGGGCTTAGCCCAGGGCAGGGGATTGGGGTCCAGGAGGGGGTTCAGGGTGCAAGCTCTGGGAAGAAGTTTGGGTGCAAGGGGACTCATGTCTGGGGCAGAGGCTGGGTGCAGGAAGCTGTCCAGGGCTGGGACAGGGGTTCAGGAAGCAGGCACTGGCTGGGCACCATTTAACTGAGACTGGTTCCAGTTCGTAGAGCAGGGGAATTAAGGCGGCTTACTCCTTCCCTGGCCCTGCACCCCTCCTGAAAGCAGCTGGCAAGGACAGCAGTGGCTCCCTGTGCTGCCCCTCATCTACAGGCACTGACCTAATAGCTTCTACTGACCACGGTTCCCCATTACTGATCAATGGGAGCTGCAGGAGCGGTGTCCGCAGGCAAGGGCAGCATGTGGAGACCCCCTGCTCTATCTCTCAGAGGCCGCAGGGACATGCCAGCCACCTTCAGGAGCAGCAATTCCCACAGGGATAATGACTCCAGCCACGACGGTTCGGCATGTTAGAACTCACTGCTCAAGAATTACATTTAAGCGTAAGGGAGAAATGAAAATGATGAAATGCACAGGCCAGTCCCACACCAACCCACTCTGCAGGCAGTAAAAGGAGTAAGCACCACCCGTGTGTGAAGGGCAGGGTGTTTGTGAGTGACAGACGCACACACAGTGAGCGAGTGTGACAGGTTTGCATTGCCAAGCTCCCGCCATCCCCTGCTTTCCTTGTGGAGTTAGGGTACAGGAGTGGGGGGGGGGGGGGAGGGACATCCTGACATCAGCGCCCCCCACTTTCCCTCCCACCCCCTGCACAGCAAGCAGGAGCCTCAGCTCCAAAGCAGAGGGCAGGAGCAGCATGACAGTCAGGGGAGGGGCAACTGAAGTACCAGCACTTGAGAGCTTCCTGGCCAAACCAGTCAGGATCCCGTCAGAGGCTCCAAGATCCCCCGGTAGACCCCAATTGACTGGGTGGCGGCCACTGGTCTAAAGCTTTATCGCTTCTATTGCGACACTGCTCAAAGGATGTAACGCTCGGGGGTCCCAAGATCTGACGGCTCCCCACAGAGTGGGCCTTTCCAGGAAGCCTGGCCAGACCACGATTCCCCGAAAGCGCAGAGGCCCGGGCAGAATATTTCACGGCCGTGCTCCTCAAACCGGAAGGGGTTTCATGAGAAGTGCATTGTGGGAAAGGCTGGGCTCGTGGTCGCATCCTGTCAACGCTGGGGGATCCGCATGGGATCTGGTAAGGCTGCCGAAGTCCCACATCCAGCTCACAATTGGGGAATAAACCCCAAAACACTCCTGCCCCTCTAGCTGCAGAGCAATGCTCAGCTGCAGGAGACCTGTCCCGTGCTCAGATGACCGGAGCAGCCTGTGTGCGTGGCAGACCCCCCGCGGGGCTAGAGCGGGTAGGGAGCTGTTCCAGCCCCACCGGTTAATGGCGAGCCAGAGTGGCTGACACTCCCTGCTTTCCCTGCCTAGAAGGGAGCTGCCCGAGGTGGAGCAGGGAAAACACGCTGGCTGGACACATCCCCAAAGACAGGGTGATTTCATGACTTCCGAGGAGCCCACTAGCACACACACTAAAGGGCAGCTGGAAAGCGGGTACCAGAGCAAATCTCAGAGCAGGAAGCAGCTGCTTCAGCTAGGTCCATTGGCAGCACAGGATATGCGGTTACAGGAGGGGACTGACCAATCTCTCTCCTGCCTCGGGGCGGGGGACTAGACCACATGACCTTCTGCGGTCTCTTGGGGCCTGTCTACACTAGGAAATTATTTCAAAAGAACTCCATTTGAAATAACTCCCAAAATAAGAACATCGAAATAGCACGTGGCCACTATGGGAAAGCGGCAAAATTAGTCCGAGGCAGGTGCCGTTACTGTGGATGCGCTACTGCGACTTAGAGCCCCGGAAAGCGCTCCCAATTACTCTGGGGAGTCGTTATTTCGAAATAGCAGCGGAGCGTCCACATCGCTGCTATTTCGAAATCACGATTTTGAAATAAGCGTTATTCCTCACGGAAAGCAGGACGACAGATTTTGAAATAACCAGCCCGTTATTTCGAAACAACAGGCTTGGTCGTGTGGAGGCTCCTCTTAGTAGGTCACAATAACTCCCCCCGTGTAGACCAGGGCTCGCAGGCCTACGTTTCCCGCGTTCTAAAGAATTCGTACAACCTGGCGACTTTTACAAATGTTACGGTGAAGAGAAGGAAGTTGTCAGTATAAACACTCTCAGATTTAACCCTACCTCTCCGACACTGTAACGTCACCAGGTTACAGTCGTAGTCCAGCGGGGTGATGATCACATGCACAAAGTTGAAATGGCCCTAGAGAGGAAACAAAATATTAGAATGCAGAAGCAGAGCGAACAGGCGGAGGTGTATTTTACCGGAAAGCGTGACATTTACGGAGGCAACCCACAGATGCAGTTTGAACACAGCAAGGTAACTAGCCCCAATTCATAACCAAATCGTCGTGAGACAAGTGGCACCAGCAAGGAGGGAGAAAGCTGGTCCCGCTCTCTCCCACCAGGTTTTGCACTCGCCAAACGTTCCATAGGCCACGGAGACCGGTGGGGAACTAGGCCGACCACTATTAAACAGGGGGCTTGTTCTCAACCAGTACAGCTGCTGGCAGAGTGATCTGGAGCGTGGCTTGGCTGCATGGTAGCAATGCCATTGAAATGTGACCTGGGTGCCACTCCACGCAGAGGCCAAAGGTCAGCGAGGGGTGTTGTGACCTGGTGCCTGAGTCGTCCATTCCTGTAATGCAGGATGCGGGGGTGGGGCCTACCTAGAACTCAACTCTTAGTGGCAAAGCTCACGTACCACATGGGTACACATCTCTGCAGGAGGGTGACTGGCCTAGAATTTGCCCCACCAAAGAAATATCCAAACTGACACCGCGGCTTCGGACAAGACGCAAGGAGATGAACAATTTTACCAAGACCCCATGGCTGACAGGCAAGGGGAATGTCCTGTCGCCTTTGAAGGTTTTCCAAAGCTGTATCAGCCCACCAGAGGTCTCATAAGCAGAGCCCAGTGTAAACTCTCGTACCTTGATGGTTCCCAACCGGAAGTCTTCCCCAGAATCGTTATAAACGATGGAAACAAAGTCGTTCCCAAGGTGCCTCTTCTTGTCACAGCGATATTTATCCAAATCCTTTGTAGGCATCAACGTCGCAATGTGAAAAATGGCTGGGGGAGGGGGAAAAAGAATCAGGCAAACCGAACCGAAATGGGATCGAAGAGAGGAGATGCAGCTAGCAGCATTCCAGCAGGGGGTGCAAGGACAGATAGCTCGCCAGGGTATCTATGGCCCTCGAGTGGCAACATTCAGGATACGGCATTTATCTACGGCTGAACTACTGTACGCAGGACTGCGCTGTGCTGCTTTGAAGACTGGGCAGGAGGCTGGACTTGATGACCTCCTGAAGTCTATTCCAGGTCTAGGATTAATTCTATGAAGGCCTGGCCTGAATACTAGCAGCCAGCGCCAGACAGCCCGTTCTATCTGCTTTGCATTGCACTGGAGACATATCACAGTGCATAATACTGCAGCCAAATCCCTGGCCACAGAGAAGACCCTTTGGGACCTCCGAACCGAGCGTAACTTGGGAGCAGCCTGTATTCTGCTGCTAGTTACACCAGGGTCAAAATGGCTGATCTGGCCCATCAGCAATAGCCTTCTCAGATGCATTCTCGGTTACCTGCCGTTACTAGAACACTCATCCCAATACACGAGAGAGAGTTAAGGAAAGACTTTACGACAATTTCAGCAGGGCCACAGCAGCAGAGAGGAGGGTCTGCCGTGTACAGAAAAAACAAAAGTACCTTCTACTTTTAAACGTCTTTCTAGTCACTGCCGCGTGGGCAGGATGCTGTGCTCACACCCAGTCCCAAGGCTATCACGAACAACACCGCCCATATTTAAAAATCGTTCTCCAAAGAAACATCTGGCACAGCTGGGACACATGTGGGCTGCTAGAACACATCAGATAGTTTCTGGAAACCCAGTGGCCCATGAAACAAGACAGCTTAACACAAGGGCAGACATAAACCCACACCTCTCTCAGAGGGTACGGTCTGTATTCAGAGTAAAAAGTGACCTTTTTTTTGCCCAATTTAAAAGTTTGTGTCAACTTCTTCCAAGTAACAGAGCCAAGAAGACGGGAGGGGTGGAGCTGGGGCTAGACAGCCCTCAGCGCCGCTGGGAGAGCGTTGCGCCTCTCCCCACACCCTCAACGCTGCCCAGTGCCCCGGATGCCACTGCTCCTGCAGCAGCAGCAGCCAACGGGTGTTCCCGGGCCCTTCTGTATCACTCATCCCCAGGGTAACTTCCTTCTTTGCCCCCCATTGGCAGGTCTGCTCCCAAGCCATCAGTGAAGACGATTAAACATATGAGAGGACACGGAAACGGAACCCAGGCAGCCCTTCTCTCTGCCACCCTCTGAGAACAGAAGATGTGGGACACCACCCAGACCTACTGGCTTTTCTCAGGCAGTAAAGCCCCATTCCTGTCCCCCCAGGAAGTGGGACGCCCTACCTTGCATAATGTCATCGTGCCAGCAGTAGGTAAACTGACCATCCTCCCCACACACGTCCAGACCACCAAGGTAAATTTTATCAGGCTGACAGTCTTTGAGTTCAATGAGCTTCCCTAAGCCAGTCAGGAACTCGGTGTATCTGTAGGAGCCGTGTTCATTGGACAGAATGGCAATCTCATTGTGGCTCTAGAAAAGAAAACATTCAGAGAGGGGGGTCAAGTCCTTCCTCGTGTCTTTGGACTGTTAAAGCAGATTCAGGTCCTTGCGAGGGCTTTGGCCGGATTCCAGGGTCGGCAAGCCGCGCCCAAGGGCAGACCCTGTCCACGCAGAACGGGAGGGGACAAAAGTTGTTCACTGAGTATGGGCTGGGCTGGCAGAAGAGTTGCAGAAAGCTTTAAAGCCCTGAGATTGCCAGAGGAGTGGGAAGTACTCAGGAGCCAGCTCTGGGTCCCTGCCTCTGGGCAGCCCCTCTGGGGTCCTGCTGGCTTTAACGCCCCTCAGAGTCCCGCCACCCCCAGGGGCTCGGCTGCCGCTTGGGATCCTGATGTCGGCCGGGAGCTCTGCAGTCACCTCTAGCCGTGACGGTTACTGACTCGCCCAGGCTGGTAAGTCTAGGCATGACCCCAGCCTGGGGCAGCGAGGGGTGCAAACAGGTGTGTGTGGGGGGGGGAGCACAGCTCAGCACCCCCACCCTACAAACAGTGCCAGTGCCACTAGAGCTGGCCACATGGAAGAGAAGCCAATGTCAGTAAGAGTCACTCGGAAGGAGCCTCTGAGAAGACACCCTGGACTAGTGAAATATAAGCCTTGCTACTGGAAAGCTGCAGTGGGCGCGTGCATGACAGACACCAGGAACAAGCATCAGCGTGAAACCTCAGGCCTCAAGGCATTTTGCTGTAGTTTGGGCATTCTCTGTACAACCCAGGAGACCGCAACACGCAAAGCGGCTGCTTTAACATGGGTAGAAATTAATGCAATTCAAGTGAAGCTGCTTGGCCTCTCCTTGAAATCTCCCTTTGGTATGTGCAAGAACTCACCTGCCCTTCTCCGACATAGAGCACGGCAATCTTGTGGGTATCGTAGGAAGGAATCTGATCTAGGAGCTGCACCGAGCTTTCAAATGTCTACAATTAAAACATGTTCACTGGTCATTTCTTTGAATGGCACTGAAGAGCAGACCCACCACAGACTACAAAGGCCTATGGAGTGATTCCTCATCCCCACACGATTATTCTTCGATAAACGTTAGTAAGGTATTGACCACACACACACACACACACACACTATTTGCTTCTGAGGAATACGAATGAGAAAGTGTTTAATAGGGAGTCTATTGTTCCTTTTGTTCTCCTTTGTAGTGCCACAATCTCACCTCCTGACAGCTGAATGTATTTCACGCACCAGCCATGACAACTGATAAACACGGCAGGATCAGTGCTAGAACACACTTGCTTTCGATAATACTGTCACACAGGACAGTACTTTCGCTCACCCAGTCTGTCAGACTCCCAGAGGATTTGCTACTCAGACCCAGGAAATGGCACCCCAGGTTTGATCTGACTTATAGATTCACTATGCTTTATGCTACCTCGACAGTGCTGCACCTCTCCCCCCTCCCGAACTCTGGTTTTATTCTGGTCTATTTCTGCGTTGGGTAACTCCCGTTGGGCACTCCCAGGGCTCGTCTCACTACACAGAAGATCAACGCTACCGTGGTCAATATTCTGGAGTTTGATTTAGTGGGTCTCGTAAAGACCCACTAAATCGAACTCAGAGGGCGCCCCTTGTCAGTGCCAATACTCCTCCTCGCGAGGAGTAAGGGAAGCTGACGGGAATGTTTGCTCCCATCGACCTTCTGCTGTGGAAATGGCGCAGAAACTCGAATGAAAGTACATCAACTTCAGCGACATAATTAACATAGCTGGAGTTGCATATCTTAATTCGATCTTCCCCTGCAGTGTAGACCTGGCCCTGGTCTGTAATAGGGATTAAATTTAGAATAATCAACTAATTGAATAGTCAATGCAATTTGCATCGATTATTCAATTAGTCGATAAGGGCGCCCCTGCCTTTGAAGTGTAGCAGCGGCCCCAGGCTGTTGCTACACTTCAAAGGTACACAGCGCTGCAGGGAGTATGGGGCCAGCAGGAAACTCAAGCATCCCCCGCTAGCCCTGTGCTCCCCACAGCGTTTCAAAGTGGCAGCGCCACATATTTAAAAATGTCATATTCAAAAATTCCAGGGCAAAAAAAGAAAATCAGCATATACCTGGCTTTCACTGTGTTTCTTTAAAGAAAATTCAAAGGCTATTGTTTGCCAGGCTGAAGCAATCATTCTGAAATAGGAGTCTCTCCCTTATTGTTTTTGAACCTCTCATATTTGCAGTCTGGGACAGACCTGAATTTTTAGAAGTATAAAAAAAGCCATAATCTTTTCTTTTTTTTTTTTTTTTTAATTAAATGAAGAGGAAACCAGACCAGAGATCAACAAGCCGGAGTGAAACAGGCACTTCAAATTGTGCTAATTTACTTATCAGTTCAGTTTAATTTTAAAAAACTCACTGGACATAATAGGGCAGTAGTGTTACATTTAAAATACACGGTGGGGATGCTTTTTTTTTTAGTGTGAGAATATTACTGTATTTTTAAAGGTTTGGGGTTTTTTTTAAATTTGATGTTTGTTCCTTCTCAAATTCTCTGGAAAAAAAAAAAAAAAAAAATCTATGGACTGGCCGTGAATTTTGTAAGTGACTAGAGACTTTTTTTATTGGTTTTGTCCGAAATGTCCTGTAATGTTATTTTTATCCCTACATTTTGTGTACTATATCTATCTATCTATAGACAGTTATATAAAACTAAATATACAATACGTGGCTCTTTGCACTCTATCCACAGCTTCGTCTCTAACTGGTTGGCCTCCCCTGAACTAGACGTTTTCATCCCTCGTCTGTAATATGGGCCACCCCCAATTTTCTAGACATCTTCTCCAAAGCACATTGCCCGATTTCACCCTTTGCTATTATTACCAACACAACACCACACCTGCTTCCTCAGAAGCGAATACACGGGGGGTAAAAACCCTGTCCCTGGAGACCAAACGTACTGCCTGACGAGCTAACTGGTCGCTGACAGCTCTGGGAGTCGGAAAGGAGCCATCCCATGACAACAGTACATCAGCACTGTGAGAAATGGTGTGGGGCAGGAAAATCTCAATCCACAACCACAAACAATGATCATCTGTTCATCAGAAATAGCCAAGAGTTTACATCTCTACCAGCCTGGCCATTAAGGAGCCACCGATAACCCTCACCACCCAGCTGCCAGTCAATTAGTACACGCTTGTATTTTCAAAAACGAGCGTGATTAAAGTTGTCATTTCACATGTCCATACAGAAAATCGATCCCTACCTCATTTGGCAACAGAAGGGGCTTGTTGGATTCATCTCCAAAGAAGGGGGAGTGGTATAGCTGTAAAAACACAAAGCTGAGAAAAGAAATTAAATCCTGTTACCGTACAATAAAGCCCACGTCCATCTACATGGCAGAGATGTTTGAGATGAGCTGCTCAGTGCAGAACCCCTCCTCAGTGGGCCCCGTAGGTATCTGCTCCATTACTGTTGCTGTATACGCACATACCATAAACCTCACTAGCTCACTCGTGTGCCTTCTCTATACCAGAATGGCCACTGGATCTTTGGAAAAGACAAAGGCGTGGAAATCAAATCCTACCTTGGGCCATTGTTTACTTCAGATCTAGAAATTTAAACAAGGTGCTTAGGCTCTGGACTCATGGAAATATTTTACTATTTAATATACAACCAGCAAGGTAAAAATCATCCCGTTAGTGCCTGGGAATGCTACTGGGCTCAAACACCCAATCTAATTTACTTTTCCCCCCACCACTGTTCATGCTGTTTACCATTCTGCATTTGTTTTCTCTCTGACAGAGAGATAGCTATGGACTAGAGACTTTTTTTAAGTGACTAGTTCCCCGGTTTATAGTTAATTTGCTTACTAGCTCTCCTGCATTCAAATTGCAAAGGGGAGGAATGTTAATTCAACGTAATTGTTCTTTGAAAAGAAAAAAAAAAAGTACCGAAATAGCTGGGATGCCACAATTCTTTTTGCCCCAAAATTCAGGTTTCAGATGCTAACACATGGATTAAATTAGAGAAAGTTCTATCTCCTGGCTGTTCAGTTTAGGCTTCTAAGACCCCAAAACCCACGCGTTGAATTTAAACATGTCTAGCTACCCCTCTAAATATCTTTGTTCTGAGAGGCCCCCAGAAGCCGGGTTGAGAACCCCCACCCAAAACCCACCCACCTTGGGTTTATTCCAGGTACTTTCTCAGCATTGGAGGCTGCTGTCCTGCTCTTGAGGGCATCTTTCTCGATCCTTTTGCCCCTCCGAGAAGGGGCTGAATCCGAGATGGTGTATCCTCGAGGACGGTGGCCACTGGGTGAACGGGGTGAGGAAGAAAGGACGTTGCAATCCAGCCTGGATGTACCACTGAGTCTAGTGTCATCCCCTTGGCTCAGCCAGCTAGCGGCTCCTTCTCCTTCCAGGTTCCCAGACTGAGATTTTGATTTCAGTTCCGTGCTCAGCCTTCCGGTTGCTTCTTTACTGTTGGGGTCCTTGAGGACTTCCTGCAGAGTCTGAAGCTCAGGGGAAGAGCTGGACTTGCTGAGCGGCTGGGAAGGCTGAAAGGAGAGCTCTTCCAGAGTCCTGCCATCCTCCGAAGGAACAACCCTGCCAATGGGAATTCCGCCAGCCGCCAGTTCGTCCGACTTCAGAGATTTCTCTTCTTGACTAGACGTTGACGAGGACTTAGGGGGGAACCAAAGCAAAGCTGTTTTCGTGAGGAACACCTCGACACGATGCACAGCAGCTCACGGGAACGACGCGAGTGGACAGGGAGACATCGCCACTAATCAACACGCTACGCCAGGGGTGGGGAACCTGCAACCTAGAGCCGCATGCGGCCACCAGTTCGCCTGGATCCGGTTCCCCAGAGTTGGGGCTCCCCTGCCCAGCATTGGGGAGGTGGCATTTCAGCCTTGCGTCACTCCCACCTTCAGCCCGCTGATGCGCCCCATCTCTGGCCTTGCCCTCCCTCCTCCAGCCCACTCTGCACCTTATCCTTCTAGACCCATCAATGCCCCACACCCAAAGCCCACTTCCCTGCAGCCCACACACGCTGAACCCCTCATTTTTGGCCCTACCCCAGACCCTGGGGGGGGGGCCACAAAAATCTACTAGTCCAGGCCCCCCTAGGCTCTGGTGTGCAAGGGGAATGTCTTTCTGCTTCTCAGTCAGGGGTCATGGCAGTGTGGCGTTTTTGTACTGGGGGAGGGGTTTTTTTGCAGCTCACTTGTGTGCGGCCCCCGACTGGTTTTCCTGTGGGTCAGCAGCCCCCCGACCCAAAAAAGGTTCCCCTGCACTATACCAAAGCATTTTAGCTTCAGTATGAGCAGATAGGGCCTAGTCACCTGGGCAGAAGCCTAGGTGCCGAGGTGACAGGCAGGTACCATTTCTCCTGAATATGAGCCAGCCCCTCCCCCCCCCGTTGGTTCCGAGCATTTTGCTAGAGTTAACAGACGCAAACGGAGAACGCGGACACATCTGCAGTTGACACTGAAGCCCCTTCTCTCACTTGGGAAGGTACGATTACCAGCCAAATGCACGACAGCCTTACCCGGCTGTAAGCCTGGTGGGCTTTCATGAACTTCTCCTCGCTCATGCCTTGCTCAGAGCACACCGCCTTGAAGTCTTCAAACTCCTGAGACGCCAGGGAATCGGTTTCTCTTAAATCCGCTTCCTGTGGGCTCCCCTCTTCCAGAACTACTGCTGATTCTACCAAGACACAAAGAGAATAACTGAGGCATGCAGAGAGGAGTGGCATGATGGGACCCCGTCCTTTCCTCTGAAGTACCAGCCTTTTCCCTACTAGGATTTTAGAGGAAGGCCATATTGAATGGGTGCTATATCGTGTCTCTGATCACCGGGTGCAGACTTCAATGGCACATCAGACTTGCTAGAGGTCTCCCCTTCATACAAAATAATTGATCGACTTACCCTCACACGAAAGGATTACACAACTGCTCTGTCACACTAGGCACAGTGGTGCCAGACCATTACTAATGGACAAGTAGTGAAAAGATCAGAGACAATGGATCCTTGTGTATGTTAATACTCAAGTATCAGGACAGACAATAACTAGAGAGAGGTAAGGGAGCGCATGACTAGCATTACAGCTTGTTATTGAATAGGCAATGAAAACATCAGTTCTACGCAACTGTGGAAATGAATAAGCCTTGTATTCATTCTAGGAGGAGATAAATGCTCTCGTGCCTCATGTGGAGGAGGAGACGAGAAAATTTACTAGAAGCCATTTACTTGCATTTGGACAGTCCTCTCGGTATGCCTCGGTAGAAGCAAAACAGGGCAACCTGGGCCTTATTAAAAGGACAGGAGGGCATCGTTAATATACACACTGCAGCAATCTCAGGAAAGTTTGTGTGTGGCTTCCAACTAGACAAATAGCTAATGAAATAGAACGGCCTGAAAGAAAGCCCCTTGGAAGCGCTATATATTGTAGGGATGTTAAATTTCGATTAATCAGCTAATCGAGTAGTTGGAGTTTCCAATTTCCACTCGCCCCAAGTTCTGACTGCTGCGCTGCTCACTTGCGCTTCTCCCCTGGGGCTCTTGCTACATTTCAAAAGCAGAAGCGCAGCAGTCGGAACCCGTGCCTCTGTCGCCCCTGTCGATGGTGCTGGGGTAAAACCAGCTTTTAAGCGGGCTCCTGCTCCCCCCAGTTGCTGCTTCTCTCTGACAGAGGCAGCAGAGGTTGGGGAGGGAGGGAGAAGCAACTAGTCAAGTCACTACTCGACTATCGGATAAGCTTATGCTTATCGGACAGTCGACTAGTCGCTTACATCCCTCGTGTAAGCGGAGAGGTTAGTGGAAGGGGGAATCAAGTGTCTACTATACACAGTAACCCTGAATACAGGAATGCGTTTGACCGAAGACTTCTGTTTGCCTTGTTTTTTTTGTCCTGAGGAAAAGGCTGAAGTACAGGAGGCTTCCCACTACACACACACAGAATTGGAAGACCAATCTGAAAGGCTAAGATTTGTTTTCCAAAGTAGAAATTTTTAAGAAACCAAAACGTTAGCACACGCACACACAAAAACAAAAAAATCAGCCAAAAAAAGGCACTAAAGCAGCTTTCCCTGGATTGATTTCAGCTCGCAGGACCAGTTATTTCAAGAAGCAAGTAAGAGTTAGCATTGCACACGCAGACCTTCTAAAAACGTGCTGATCTGGTTAGCTGTCCAAGCCAGAACACACCTGCCCATACCCTCTGTGCTTTTCACTGCCCTGGTTCTAATATTATGGCCAATTTTGCTGGTGTTTGTTAATCATTTGAACATCCAGTAATTGCACTGCAGGGGGAAGCAGGATAACAAGAGTGAAGAAGGAGGATCATAGAAGGCTAATGTGCTGCAGCATGTGTGTATCACTTTAATAGCCTCATGTGGATACAGAAATCCCCAGTTCTGGATAATCAGCTATTCCATATCAGATTTCCCACTGAAGGAAGGTGGGATTTCATTCACCCAAGGAAGCATTGCAGACCCAAGGCAATGCAAGTGCTGCCGTTAGAGGTATCTATTTTGATTACTATCGAGAGGTCCGATATATTTTGGAACTAGATGATAGTGCCAAAGCTAGAGGAGGAAGATTTTACACAGCTACTGAATCTACAGAATGCAACAATGCGTTATCTATTTCTCCTTGAAGCAGCGTTTGGGTTTTGTATGGTTAGTTTTTTTTTTTTTTTTAAATGTGCAACCAGCCATTATACAGTAGTTTCAAACTTTGACTTTCTAACCAGCTTCTTGTTTCAGATGGTTTCCCCATCACCATTTTTGGCTGAATGCTCAGTTCAATGTGAATGTGGCACTGCACCTACGAGGAGGCACTTTCTGAATCAACCCAGAAAACACAAACCCCGATTCCAAGATCCAGTTTAAAAGTTAGGAAACTCAGATCTTTAACAGGTCACTCGATAGCCATAAGTCTCATGAGCTATGAACTCACCCCACCCAACAAGGGCTGCATTAAAGTTCCTCGTGCTTGCAAAGGTTGTATCTGGCTTGGACTTCCTCATGCTAGTCAAGATCTCATTCGTCTAAAGTAATGAGACCAGCGGGGACAAACAGGAAACATGGAAGGGTGATGAGGGATGAGGGAGACAGTTTCTATGAATCAGAGGTGTTCTTCTATGGCAATGTTTTTTTTTCCTTAAAGATAGATAAAAATACCTGCCCAGGATATGCTCCTGTGCAACTTTCCTTGACAACTGGACTGGTACAGGGAAGAGAAAGAAGCCACTGCAAAGGGAAATCAAGTGAGCAGCTACATCAAAAGGAAGGAGAGACTATATGAAAAAAATTAAAGCAGCACAGAGTTTAACGTAACCAAGAGCCTAGTTTAAAAAAAAATAAAAGCAAGGAACAAGCTGGAAAAGTCTCACTAGATGTAAAAAGGGATAACTTAAGGATAGAGGGTCTTGCTGGTACAAATCAAGGGGCATAAACACATTCAAACAATCCGACTCAGAGATTGTTCTCTTGGGAGAAAAGGAGTTTGATTTTTTTTTTTAAATCTACAGGAGGGGTTAAGTTTACTAGGGTACCAGCACAAGCACGAAATGAGCCCAGGCCGTTTCTGAGGAACACGAATTTCACAGGGGTCATTTAACCATGCATTTTATGGTGCTTGGTCCTGCCGTGAGGGCAGGTGACTGGACTTGATGACCTCTTAAAGTCCTCTCCAGTTTTAGTGCTCTCGGATTCTATGTAGGAGAATTTAAATAGCAGGATATGGATAAAGGATCAAATACAGAGATTTAGCCTCTTTAAAAAGAATACATGCATCAGCATTACAATCGCAACCCTTCTGTCTAGTTCAGCACTCCCCAGTCCAGTGGGCTGGCATGATTTTAGTTAGCTGGATGTCCACTTATCAAGGGTATAGCCAAGTTTCCTGTGGTCCATTAAGGTTTGTTTACAGCCAGTCCTGGCTCTCAGGGTTCTGGGCTGTTCTTTAGCTCTAATTTATGCCTAAATCTCTTCTCAGAGCCCAGCAAGCCGTGGAAATGTTGGTAATGCTGCTAGCCAATACTGACTTCCTATGGTTTGGCACCGATCCGGTCAGGCCGGACTAGAGAAGTTCAACCAGTACATGAATATGGCTGAAACAATTCACTGCAGATTCAAAACACTGTACGCATCAACCAACAAGCAGGTCTCAAGTTGGCTATTTCCATATGGGAAAGCTAGATCAGGCAGTATTGGTCTCTACATCAGAACCTGCGGGTGTTCAGAAAAATCCAACAGCCTGCTGGAGCAGATGAGTGTTTCAAACAAAGGGCACCATCCAATTTAGCCCTCCAATTTTAACTGCCTGCACACGTTTTGAAAGAATAAAATCAGATCCCGCATCTGCAAGGTTTGATCACAAAGCTGGACCTAGGCACAAGCATTTTCACTTGGCTCCCAGACAGCCTGCCCTACAGCAGACAGCACTGTTCGGTCTCGTGTGCCGCTAGCAGCGACTCAGTCTCTCAGAGTCCGAAGCAGCATGCCCATTAGGTTTGGACTGAACGGGGTTAACTCACAAGGCTTGGAATGCCACAGTTCGCCAGCATTAGCGCTCCCGATATTACGAACACCGGTGGAGCTGCACCCATGCTAGCATATTTGCCCAAAGTCTCCTGGGGCAGAGGAGTGGATCTTTGAGAAGCCCATCATGAGAAAGTCAAATTCTTAACACACTCATGCCTGAAGATTCAGAAGCAAAACAACCCTGCTATTAACATCACTCGCCCTCTGCCACGTCATACTGAAGTCACTTGCAAAAGAGAGCAACAGTGGGGTCGGTAGTGACCCGTTTCCTTAGTAACCACTGCTAGACAGAAGAGTCTAGGCAAGAGGTAACTAAAACAGGAATGCTGGAGAAGACCTATTCAGAAACACAGACAAGCACTGCCTCAATTTTAAACAAGCAGCAGACCAAAAGACAGGCTCCGGTCAGTTACACCGGAGGCATGTTTAGCTTGAGACCACTAAAAAAAACCAAAAACAGCTCCCTTTTAGGAAGAAGGGGTACTTAAGGGAAGGGCTGCCTCATTTCTCATGTGCCATGGGAGAACAGGAAAGGCTTAGTTCACTGAATACTAAGCACATGAAGACAGCTGGGCCCTCCCCATCCTGCCCTTAGTTTTTACTTTCTGTTACCAGATTTGCAACCTCTGCGGTAATTCACTGTAGGAGACTGCTGCAGACTCCCCTCATTTCATACAAGCTAGTGGCAGCTCCCTGGGACATGCTATGCTCCTCTCTCACCTGTATTGGAACGCTGAAGAAGAGATGGTTTGGACGTCCCGGTGGCCAAGCTGGAGGAAGGGACAGAGAGAGACTTGTACAAAGCCGTCTCTCTGTGCTCCTTAAAGCGCTCAGCAGCCATGAGCGCGTTGGATAGCTCCTGCAGCGGCATGTTGTTTATATCCGATGAGAAGGGGCTGAGCGGGTTTTCCAGGCTCATTAGCCAGCTTGTGTTTCCTGGAAGTGAGGGGAGTAAAGTTAGATCTTCTCTCTCAAACAGCCAAACTCAGCAGCATAAAGGCCCTGGGACTTGCAGGTAAAAATGAGGTTGAGGAATTTGAGGGTTTCCTTGACATTTAGCAACTGACTCAGTTAATCTCCCATTTTAAAAGAGAATCAGTCCACAGAGCCACATGCAACTCTTCCCCAAAGCTCGTCAAGCCCTGATGTTTTAGCGTAAAATAGGCTCTCTAAAGGTGATCAATTACTGGGTACTGTAAATGATAAAAGGTCCATTCTCTCACAAGACAAACTTCCAGCTGAAGTACTCAATTCTTGTTTCCGTGTGGCTTTTGGAACATATTGGTGGCCCAAAATTTGGGGATTACCCTGTTTTTTCAACCTTCATGCCTTCAACACCATTGCTGCTCCTTCACACACAGCAGTCACACACAAGGTTATTACTCCAGCAGCAAGCCTTTGTGACGTTAGCAGATTAAAATAGGACACTGTAGGTCATGGTTGCTACCACTGTTGTACAACTGCAACACAACTTGTGCGAAGTGTTATCACGTGAAGTGTCCATGCAAAAGTTAGGATTCGCTAACTAGGATAATCCTATTTGTATGGATGTATCTTTTTTTTTTTAATTTAGAGTCCTGAATACGGACTACCGGTATTTCAAATGGGTTTGTTTGTAGGGTAGCACTCACAAGGTAGCCAGCCATTCTGTTGCTAGCTTGGTGGATCTAAGTACTAAAATAACCACCCGTTTTGGGGATTGCCTGCCCTTATTTTTGCAGTTTATTCAATCTCAGCATGGCCCCCTGGGATCTCGGTCACAGCCTGGTTTGCACTTTGGAAATTAGATTCATAAGAAGGAATGCAGAGGAGCTCAGAAATGGGAGCATCACGATGACTAGATAACAGAGGGCCAACACAATGCCCATAGCTATCCGTGCAGCAGGAGTTAGGTCACGTAAGGATTTGAATCTTCTCACAGGAATCATAGAACCATAGAGCTGGAAGAGACCTCAGAAGGTCAAGTCCAGCCCCCTGCTCTAGGCAGGACCAATTCCAACTAAATCAACCCGGCCAGGGCTTTGTCAAGCCGAGACTTAAACACCTCTAGGGATGGAGACTCCACTCCTTCCCTAGGTAACCCATTCCAGTGCTTCACCACCCTCCTAGGGAAATAGTTTTTCCTAATATCCAACCTGGACCTCTCCCACCACAACTTGAGACCATTGCTCCTTGTTCTGCCATCTGTCACTACTGAGACCAGCCTCTCTCCATCCTCTCTGGAACCTCCCTTCAGGAAGTTGAAGGCTGCTCTCAAATCCCCCCTCACTCTTCGCTTCTGCAGACTAAACAGACCCAAGTCCCTCAGCCTTGGAGCATCTTAATTTTGCATCATTCAAAGGTGCAATTTCCAAAGACCTGGCTGACAAATTAAATGTTAAGACCCGTGAGATTAAACAGCATGGAAGAACTTCAGTTACGCTTAGTGACATGGGTGCTTGTTCCATGTAACCCCAATTGCTTAGCAAGTCACAGCTCAGAAATCCCTTCCCACAGTTGGTTAAAGAGTACCTGTAGGTCTCCGGACTAATATTTCTGCCCAGCCCTGTGTGAGCAATGGGACACAAGCAGCCAGGTTTGTTTTCTCTTTCTGTAGAGGAGCGTGGGCCCCGGATGCGGCTTTCTCTGCCCGAGGTGCAGAAGCAGAAGCAGGACTCTGTAAGCCTTGGGGGGCGGAGCTGTCTAAAGCACCAACCCGTAAGGCATGGCCACCTGGAAAAACAAAAGACATGGAGAGTAAAAAAGGAAGAACTCCCGGGTTCAGTTTGAGACACACACAACTGGACCAATGCCAAGAAAACAGGTAATAAACAGTTCCATGCACCTCGATAGCATCTTCGGTCCATGTGTCTCTCACAGATGGAGCGGACATGGGGCTGGAAATCTGGCAGATGTACACATTGGTCTATGAAGCCAGGCAGAGGGGGCTGTAAGACATGGCTCCTTCTGCAGGTTTCACAACAGCTAAGGTGGGCAGGCAGAAATCAGCCAGTCAGGGAGCCAGCATTCACTGCTGCCACTCATTCCAGTCCTTCTTTACTAAGTCCTTAGTCCTGTGAGCAGCCCAATCTCGGCCTTTTCACTTGTATAAGTCTAGCGGGGAGTCTGGACACACAGATCAAACTTGCCCCAGTATGGCTGCAAGTCTCCAAGGGTAGAAATGTACTTACCAGACATTGACCTGACTCTGTTGCGAGACCCTCTGCAGACCTGCTGGCCAGCTTGAGATTCCAGTTTTGCTGGAGCTTCTTTCGTTTGTCTCACTTGCGAAACAGGGTCTGAACTAAGAAGGGGGGAACCACAGATAACTAGCAACGCAGTGGGTTATAATTCATACCAGCCCAAAACAAAGGCTCATTCCTGTATATGAAACGGTGACTTCCAATCCGTTTAACACAATGGCTTTTTACTGGTATCATCAGGGAAAGGTTTGTAAAAATCCGAGTGGTGTTTACCTGGACTCTGTGTTGCTCGGGAGATCCCCTGAGTCAAGGCCCAACAGCGACCTCGTCCCGGCTCCAACACTCGTCGTGATAGTCACCAGCTTGTTACCAACCAGCCAGGTCTTCGTCCTTCCTCCAGCCAAGAGGAACTCTCCTACAGGAGACCTAAAATACAGTCGAAGTGAGAACAACTCACATACGTCGCCCAGCTGGGACGTTATCTTCCACACTGGGGTTGGAAAAAATTCCTGTTCTTTCCACATTTACATGTGATGTTTCTTGCAGACTACCCCAAGGGAGAGCATAAACACTCTCCATCAGGCCCTCTCCAATATCAAGTACTTCTCTTGGCTTCTAAACAACAGTGCAAATTTAATCCTGGCCTTGCCTTGATGCAGCCAATCCCACTGCAGCAGGCCTTATCCTGCTACGTGCCTCCTTCCAGGACACCAAGTTGGACTATCAAGGCACATCTACACAACATGGACGGTTGACGGTGCTGCAGTCCATCTTCCAGGGTTCGATTTAGCAGGTGTAGTATAGACCTGCTAGATCGAACTCAAAGGGCACCCCCCCGATGCTCCTGCTCTTCATGGCAGTAAATGCTCCCATTGGCCTCCCACTGTGTGGATGTAATATACGTCAACTCCAGCTATGTAATTTATGTAGCTGGAGTTGCGCATCTTACTTCAACCTTCCCATGTAGTGTAGAGCAGGCCCCCGTGTCTCCAATTTGCATGGCACTTTTCAACCTGAACGATCCCCAAACACGGCGCACACACTCTCTGTTGTGAAGGACAGTAATAAGCTGGCACATTGCGTTACATTGTGGGAGAAGCGTTCTGGCTATCTTCAATAGCCACGTGGAGCAGAAAGGTTGCTAACAGTTTCATGCAAAAAGACTGCATGGTTTTCAATGTATCTACTAGGGATAAAATAGTGGAGTCGATTAACCACTAAGCAAAAGCTTACAGGTTAATGCTATAGACTACACGCATTTCCCCCCCCCCCCACTACTTTTTTTAGCAGGCAGGCCAGCAGCCAGGCTCAGTCCTGACTTGCCCCCAGCCTGGGACCTATCCCCGCTGCAGCTCTGCATTGAAAGTAGGGCTGTCAATTGACCTGCGTTTATCACAGGCGTTAACGCAGGACAGGATTAACGCGTTAAAAAATGAATGTGTTAATCGCAGGCATTAATGCTGTGCTGCCTCTTTGAAGTGCCATTCTGGAAGCATTAGAAGCAGCAGCACAGAGCTGGTTTTTAAACTGGCTTCCCTCACAGACCAGCTCCCACCTGGTGCCCCGCGCTGCTGCCTCTGATACAAAGGCAGCAGCGCAGAGTGGCAGGGGCTCCTGGGGAGAGGAGCCGGCGCGCACTGGCTGCCGGCCCTGCCCCTGGGGACTATAGAACAGTCGAGTGACCGATGATAATTCATGAGGTACCTCGACTATTCAATTAACCAATATTTAACATCCCTAGTATCTACTCCGAGGCAGGATTTGATCAACTGCTCTAGGGGAGTTTTTTGTCACCCAGCTTCATGCTAAAATCAATGCAGGTTTTAGCCAGAGGAGACGGGTTAGGCATTTGAGACTTATGCTCATAAGAGCCTGGAATCTGATCCAGGAATTTCCTGCCGATGAGGCGAGACGTCCCTGTAGGCCAAAGAACAGCTAACACCATAACAAGGAGCTGACTCCCACCTCTTGGGCACCGCTGTGAAATTGGAAAAGACGTAGCGGGCCATCATATCCAGACAGGTCTCCGTGAGTTCCAAGTGGAGGGTTTTTAAGCTGTCATCAGCCTGAGCCATCGAATTCTCATCAGCAGAGCCCAGACTAGAGCTAGTGATGGACGTCTGTATCCTGCTGAGAGAGGGAGTTTGGCACGTGTCAAGTGACGTCGCGAAACAGACCCGGAGCGGTCACCTGATCACCAGTAAGCCACAGAGCCCTCTGCCAAACATGCACATGCGCCCAGACGTACCACACCCAAGGCACACCCGAATCACTTTCCAATCACCATTATTATGCAGTCATTGAAGAGGGCACCTATGCCACCCCAGAACCCCTGGCTTATCTTGAGAATGAAACGGAAGCATGGTTAATGCATATGCAGTTTGATCCAGGTCAGGCCTGAGGGGAGATGTGGTGCTGAATTATCGAGGCAAACAGTAGCGTTACAGAAATTGATTTTTACGGGCAGAAATAAAAATTCAGAGTCACGTAAAATCTAGAGAGACCAGCGGCAAAAAAATTGCACTCTGCACACAATTAGTAGTACATTGATATAAAGCAATTTAGTCTGCTACCTGTTAAGCAATGCAATCTGGAAACACTTATAAGAGCAGGCTGCATTACAGAGATCGTTATAAGGAACGCCTGTAACAGGCGTTTGCAAAAAGATTGGGCTGCACCTCAACTGGGTTATATTCCAGGGGCATCAGATTCTGAAGCGCCAAACGCATTTTCACAATCACTTCTACGGCCCCGCTCCCAACACGCTCTCCCAAACAGAGAAAATGACTTGCAAGGCGATTCCAGTGATAGTATGATCCTTATTTCCGGTAGCCTAACTATTGGCATTTTCAGGTGGAGGAATCTGTAGCCATCCTAGCCAGAATCAGCAATGTAATATTCCAGGACAAATCCGGAAACAGTAGCAAAGGGTTTACAATTGTTAAAGATGTGATATGGCCAAATCAAGAGGCAATGACCAAACTACACGGTAACCCCCCCCACTCCAGGTGTCCCTAATTTGGGAACACCCGTGGTACGGACCCTGGCAGAGGAAGGAGGAAGCAGCTTTGTGCACTGCCATGTCCCTTCCCGCTGAGCTGGGGAACGGTAGTGTAGCCACGTGCTCTGCCAGCGGCAGGGTCTGGGAGTGTCGGGGGACACCGAGCGCCAGGTAAATGCCCCACTCCCATCACCCTCATGCCCTCCTTGGCCCAGCAACATCTTTAATCCGGAAAACCCGTTTTCGGGTTGCCGGATTAAAGAGGTTCAAGTGTATTTCCTTTGGTCATGAAAATATTAACCGGTTTGTAAAAGACTACCCTTCCCAGCTTTGCTGCAATCCCCTGGCGCTAAACCAATGCATTCCTGGCACGTTACTTTATATCAACAGACTTCTTTGTGCCCCTTTCCCAGCAATAATTACATGAATAATGTTCTCTGCTTTGCAGAGAAGGTTCGCCCACAATCCTAGCGGACAATATTCCCATTCATGTTTCAAATTGCCTTTGGAAGGCTGTAATTTTAAAGCCATTTAACAAAGACTCCAGCTTGCACAGAATGCAACCTTTTTTCCCCTTAATCTGTACTTGGCCAAGAAAAGCAGCTTTCATGACTACAGCACCACTGTTTGGAAGCAAAGGGTGATGTAACGCCACCACTGGTACACCACAGTACCTCCAGGAAGCTTTCCCAAGGCATATTTTGCGTACCGAACCTTATTTTTATGTTCGTGCAAGCATCCCGCATGCAAATTCTCCTCCCCCTACCCACCCTCGCAGCAACGTTTCCAAGTGCAAATCTGCTCTTGGGTTCTCCCCCTTTAAATGCCACTACCTGCGGACCACATGTTCCGACACACTCGGCAGAGGTTTCTTTCAGCTCTTTCACTGGAGGAGAGTGATTCAAGCCTTGCTTTGCATTTCTGGCTATTCTTAAACTACTAGGTGAAGAAGCACCAAGCCCCGAAAGAGGTGTAATTGCACAGGTCACAGGAAGGGAAGAAATCATTGTAGGGATGGAGGTTGAAAGGTCACACGTCACATGGGTCAATATTGGGGAATCCCAGAGGGTGATGTGAAACAAAAAAAAATGTCAAAAAGGGAAAATTAAAACATAAAACCAGGCAGAGCTGAAAGCATAAAGTTCACATTTTGAAAACAAGATTGTAACAAACACTACGCACAAAGGAAATGAGTACAAATTAAACCAGAAAGCGATGTAATGGTTGGAATACTACGCTACCCCGAAGCAGGCACTCAGCTTTCATTGCAAGGTTACTCTAGTCTGAAGAGCTGAGCTTGTTTCAACGTCCCACTGTGTTATCCTAGCCAGCGGCTCTCCTGCAATATTACCACGGTCAAATAAGACTTTTATAGAGATTTTCTCCTGAGATCTCAAACCTCTTTTCAATCACTAAACCTCAAAATATCCATGTGAGACAGGTAAATATCTTTGTTTTATCAGTCTGGAAATAGAGGTAGAGAAGTTAAGAGACTTGCCCAAGTTCTGAAAGTGAGCCAATGATTAACCTAGAAACAGAGTCCAGGAGTCTTAACAAATCAGTAAGAGTTCCTCTCAATTTAGACACACATGCTCATTTCAAGTGATCTCCTGCCTCATTCTTGTGTAACTGCAAGCATGAGGCATAAGGTTCCTTTCCCAAAAGCCTTTGGGACATCGGACATAAAATAAACTGTCTAATTTGTCCTCAATGAAATCAGACCCATGGACCTGATCCTGTAAACCAGTGTTGTCTTCAAGTCGTCATTGTCAAGTCCCAAGTCGAGTCTCAAGTCTTAGTTTAAAAAATGTCAAGTCACTTTTGTACAAGCCATCAATATCGACATTTTTGGACAATTTTTTCACCAAGTCGATTTAACAAAATTAGCAAGTCTCAAGTCACAAACAACGAACCCGAGTCGAGTCTCAAGTCGAGTCACGTAGGTGACTTAAGTCGGACTCGAGTTCAAGTCGTGGGACTCGAGTCAACAACTCTGCTGAAAACCCTTACTCACAGACACAGCGTCACTGACAGGGACTTCCACAAACAAGAGTTTGCAGAGGAGTCTTTGTTCCTATCCAATTACAGTTTGCATCCCCTAAGAGAATTTCGAAGAACTATCTACGCTGATCCAATTTGGTTAACAAGGCAACAGCCTTTCCGAATTAGTAGTATTCCAACCCAATGAAATTAAGTAAGTTTTGGGGAAAAAAGACAGATTAACTGAAATTGCAAAGTGAGAGATGATTGGCAAATGTGTCAACTCCAAATTTTAAAAATGAAATGAGATGAAGGATTAGAGAATTTTAACTTGCAAACACAAGACAGGGTGTACAGCTATGGCATTAAGGTGAGGATAGTGTTTCTTTGGTACAAGATCCTTATTATACTTTGCAATTAAGAGAGAAGCACTTTCCCCAGAGTGTTTCAAAGCTATTATAGCCTCAGTACAGAGAAATGCTGAAGCAAGTTGAGTGAACCAACTCAATGAGGAGTCCAGTGGATAAGCCACCTTTGCAAAACTCTGAGGGTACATCTACACTGTAACATTATTTCAAAATAACTAGCGCTATTCTGAAATAACTTAGTCCGCATCTACATGGCAGGCAGTTATTTTGAAATAATGTCAAAATATTGTCAAGCTAGAGGGCTTCTTACTCCGATTCCTGTAACCCTCATTGTACAAGGAATAAGGGAAGTCGGAGGAAAAGTGCTCTATTTCAAAATAAGTGCTGTGTAGATGCTCCCAATTTCGAAAGAAGCTATTTTGAAATAAGCGATGCAACTGATGTAGCTCAATTTGCATAGCTTATTTCAAGTTACGCCCTGCAGTGTAGACACACCCTGAGTGACTTCCAGACTATTTCACTTCCCTCCCCTCCCCTCTTTGTAGATGCTACTTCAAAATATCCATGTTCCATAATACCTGAATGGACTTCAGGGTTCTACCTGCATTGATGTACTGATTTCAAAATACTCCTTCCTCTTGGGATGAGTCTGTTAAGATACTTTCAAATGAGCTGTTTGTTGGCTACACAGAGTTTAAAAAAGGACACTGTACCGCCTCTCCTTTCATGAAATGGAAATCCAGAATCTACTGTCACACAGGAACTTTCCACAGCAGACTGATTTCTCTTTCTATTTTTTTTTCCTTTTAGAAGGGATCAGAGACCCAGAACTCTCTTCGCAGAATAATAGAATCGCAAAAGGTCAGATTGTGGATCTACCAGAGTTCAGATTGGTCAAAAATAAAGTGGAAGCTCTCAAAATCCACCCAACTACTCCAGTTTGTACATGCTGCTATTAAAACGATCCCCAATGAAATAATGTAAGTGTCCATTATTAAACTATTCTTAAGATGCAGTATCAACAACCCACGGAGATGAACAGAACATGCATTCCCCTGGCTATTTTTTCAGCCAGCACTATGTTGATTCACATTCTGCTGATAGAATGATCTTTAAAATGTAAGATTAGGATCGGGAGAGATGGGCAGGGGCAGGCAGTGGCATTCTAGTATGAATACACTCCTTTAGCCACCAGCCCATTCAGAGTTTAGGTTTAACACCAGCCCAGACTGTGTCTTAACATAGAACATTCTGGTTATTAGACAATGGACACAGCATCTTTAAGGACACAGACTGTTCACTTCACAAAGCACAGAAAAATTGGTAGGCATTTAAACAGAGACACGCTTACAGTCCTATATTTACCTTTTCGGCCTCTCATTCAGACTTGTACTGCGGGCCCTGAAACTGTCTTTCTCAGGGGTGTCATCAAATGAAAGGAGGACATTTGACCGCAAGCCCTGCCAGATCAGATAGAGATAATGGTTCAAACTGCTGGTATTTACAGTCCATTTGCTACAGCCATGGGCCAATTCTCTAGAGCTATGTTTTTCTTACAGACGGCAACAATATCCACAGATTGCAGTTCTCAGAACCCCCTTGTATTGCAAGGTCCACAACAGCCATTACCTTGGTAATGTAGGGAACAAAGTCTTTCCGGAAGGGAAGGCGACATCGGATGAACCACATAGCAATCACATGGTGTGCTAGGCACACGATGTACTGGTTAAACCTGAACAGGGAAAGATTTCAATCGCGTGTGAATTCTAAACACATTTTCAGAAGAGATGCAGTTCAATTCTAATATTACAGAGACGTGGGAGAGAATAGTACTGTAAGTTTAAGGGGAAAAGGAGATGGAGTGCAATTAGCAACACACACTCCTTATCTTAAAGCTAAATATGGCCATCCCTCAGGAAGACGACTCATCTACAAAAGGATCCCAAACAATTGTAGTTTCTCTCTATAGATAGGAAAATGCATCTCATTTCCCCGATTTACAGATGGGGAAAAGGAGAGGAAAAAAAAAAAAAATCAGCAACAATGAAGATTTGTGAACTTACTTGGAGGGATTTGTGTAGGGCAGAGAGATGGCAAACACGCTCGCATATTGCTCCGCTGCAAAATTCCGATAGAGGTGAGGCAGTCTGGCGAGAGCTGAAAGAGTTTAGTAAGAAAGTAGTTTGTGATGTCTGGAAGGGAGCACTTTGTTACTGACTCAAAGTTTAGCAGAAGGAGTCAGCTTTTTCTAACCCACTTGGTCCCCACAGGAAAGCTAACGTGGCACAACATTCTGTTAATATTATCTTGAAAGGTTTAAGCCACAAGGAGGGGGAAGGTAACCCCATTTTTCCCAATTCTTTAATGTTCTTATATGTAAAGCTTGTTTCTCTTTTCTCAGTGTGCATGTGCATGAGACTGAGCAGCTGGGTTCAATGAGCAAGAGTTGATCAGATGTTAAGATTTTACAGCAGTTGCAGCACTAATACCAGAAATACAGTGAACCCTAGAATAAGTTGTATTTGACCTGAAACTAAATCAAGATGATGCTACTCAAGCTAAATCATACAATTAGCCTTTGCACAGCCACCGAAGAACACAGGGAAAACACAATTGCCATTGCAACTTACTTGAAAGGAATTCTAAGAGAGGTATGGCCATGTTTGCCGTCGCAGAAATGTGGGTTAATTTGACAATCAAGATTGGCAGGGCTTTTATGATGATGTCTGGCATCTCAATGCTGCATACTGATAAAGCCACAACGCACTGGTTGGCACAGCGATAAATTAAGCCATGTTCCAAGCAATAAACCATTTCACGCTAGAACAGAACAGAATATTCATGGTTAAGTAAAACAAGACCGGCTCCATCTGCTACTAGTCTGCAACAAATCCCTACTATTTCTACATACTAAGATGCGAGTTATAATTGAATGGCTAGGACCAGCAGCGAACGGAAATGTTTACCCCAAATGCACTAGATACTTGAAATTACAATCTCAAGACCAAAACTTAAAAAAAAAAAATCTCGGTGGCTCCGCTTTGCTGGGTACATCTTCTAAATCGCAGATGGGACGTTTGTCAACTTGAAGCTTCTGAAATCAATGTTACAATTACAGTTTCTGACGGAATAAAAAGGGACAACAGGTTTAATGCTTTTTTGTTCCCTTTGGCTGGCTATATCAAGGGCCTTCAGATAGGGAGAAAGTACAGCCTGGCTATAGCAGCAACAAAAACATCTATAGGAAGCGCTGTTACAAACGCACAAAGCTCACCACACGAGCAGAGATTTACTAACTTCTCAGCTACAATCCGGCTCTGTTCCTTTTACTCAGGGTGCAGTGTTTTCTGGCAGAACTGCAATTTTCATGTTGAAATGTCCCTTTTTAAGTCTAGTGCAAATATTTAAAGGGTTAATGTACATTTAGAGTGTGTCTACACTGCAGGGCTTAACTCGAAATAAGCTATGAAAATTGAGCTACTTCAACCACGTCGCTCATTTCGAAATAGGGCATGTCAACACAGCACTTATTTCGAAACAGAGCCCTCTTCCTCCGACTTCCCTTCCTCTTTGTACAATGAGGGTTACAGGAGTCCGAACGTGAAGTCCTCCAATGTGACAGTATTTGGACGCTATTTCTAAAGAACTGCCTGCTGTGTAGACACGGACTAAGCTATTTCAAAACAGCTCTAGTTATTTTGAAATAGTGTTTCAGTGTCAACGTAGCCTTAGTCACCAAGTCTGAAGCAGGCTGGTCTCAGAAAGCGCATTGGAGACAAACGCGACCTTCATCTCCCACAGCCCACTCCATTTACAATACCTGTTTGGTTTTGTCCAGGTAATTATGGTAGGATATCAACGCCGTCAACACTGGAACGACAGCCAGGTGCAAGTCATTGCGGGAGAAGCCATCTGGCGTACCATGGAGCCTCTCCGTTGTCTTTTTGTCTGTAAGCTAATCAGGTACATACTGCGCTGGAGTACTTTGCATTTCACAGGCCTTTTCAACTGCTGTCTTCTTGGGCACATTTACACCGTACACAAGCGGTTCACCCATCCCCTTACAAAGCAATATTAGCTTCCAGGGCCAAGAGCTCCCTCAAGTACATCTGGATGCTGTACTCGGAGCATAACTGTGAAATAACCCCCTAGCTGGCTTTGCACAGAGTTGTAGTGTAGGAGAATGGATCTGCAGATCATCATCACATAAACCTAGAACCCCAAAGTCTTACATGCAGGTTTGTTTAGGGATAAGCTCACGTGTCCTCAAAACTCAGTTTATGCATATACTTTTATAAGGCTATTCTTTAGCAATTCAGGCTTATGGACAGTTTAAACAGGTAAAGGAATTTTAGTTTTAAGCTGAAGGAACGGGGCACCTTTGTTGTAGAGGGGGAGAAGGGACAAACTAATGCCAAACCATGCAGGGTATAAAATAAGGTGGCCACATTTCTATTAGAAGTGACGTGGTCTAGACCCCAGGAGGATAGATTGGTGATTACCATGGAGCACAGTGCAGAAGACAACTGATCAAGGTTGCAAGGAGAGGTTAGAAACAGCACTTTGTAGCGGAGAGACTCCGGTAACTTGTTGAGAACCAGTTTCAACACCTTCCACTCGGTCTCCTGGAAAGAAGGGGGAGAGAGTTTAGTAAGGAAGAAAATAACTTTTTCTGGGAAACTCAGCATGTTTTCTATGGTCAATACAAAGCCCATCGAGCTTCAAACAATACATTTGTCACTTGTCTCTCCTGCCTTGTTAGTTAGCAAAGACATTGCTTTTAGTTCATGTATGGGTTGCTTCCAGGGTTCTGCCCATCTGCTTCCTACAGCTCAGATGTAGCATGGACATGTGATGCCATAAAAGGGACTGCTCTCCAAACAGACTGTGAAAACAGGCAGAAAGAGTCCAACCCAGGCCTCTTCTGCACATGCTTCCTCAAGTCATCATACACACACAACAGCTTCTGCAGTCAATCTGGGGGGGGGTCTCCAAAAATATGAATACAATTCCTGCGTGGCCTAGGGCGCTTGCCTGGGGAGGACAGGGTCGTGGGTTCGAGTCCCGCCTCCCCAGAGTTGGTTCGGATTGGGACGGGACGGGACGAAGGAGAGCCAGGCAGGCCTGGGGCAGCCGGGAAAAGGAGCCTTCCTGTGGTAAGGTGGTGGGACGGGTTCACTAATGCATTTCATTATTTCCTTTCCATACTCAATGGTCAACAGTTTATCAATGTAGGATGCACTTCCAGCATTCTGAGGGTTTTATTATTCATTTTACATCCTCTCAGAGAGCCTGGGTGACCTATTTCCTACTGGCTTTTGGCCTCTGCTAAATGAAAAAAAAAAATCACCCCCCCTATTTCATGGTCTGCTTCGCTTAGGAAGCCTTTCGCTTGTGCTCCTCCTGGTGGCTGAAGAGTTATAGGATCATGCGCAAATAGATAGGAGTTATAATTCTTGAACGGAAAGTGGATTTCAAGAAGTTATTTAGATGCCTTCAGTAGATGTTGGGCAACCTCAGTAAGATCAAGTCAGTCCCATTTTAAATACAAATGTTTACCGTCTTTATGAAAAAGTACTATAGTATACAATTTGGCTATTATGGGAAATGGTGGGTAAGTCTCAAAGATTATACTTTTGAGATAGGATTAACTCATGGTTATGTTTTATATATTTCCCCCCCCAAAAAAGCATCCCACCAGACAATTTTTAAAGCTCTTTCCAAGTAAACTGATTAGGTGCAGCATTACATATACAGATTAATCAGCCATCGTAAGTGACCGAGTTAAAAGCTCTATTCCTTCTTAGTTTAAGGTGTGGTATGCTCTTCCACAAGAAATATCCATTTAAAACATTTCTATGGAAAACTTTTGGGCATAAAGGGAATAAAAACTGATGCTCCTGGAAGATTTCAGCATTAACATCCCACATGCTTGAGCTGGAAACATGTTTCTGAATCTCTCATTATTCAGAGCTCCGAATGTGTACACTAAACTACACTGTAGTGGAGTTAATCAACGTACTTGCTTCAAACACTGCAGAAGGACTTTGAAGAGCAGTGAGTAGGGCAGGTAGCCCATCCGAATAGAGCCATTCTGGGAGGAAACGCTGGGACTCCCTGATGGAGGAGAGAGGGTCCCAGCAGGCTTTTTCTCCGACACCCTCTTCTCTGGTTCTCTACAACATGGAAAGACCAATTGAGTGTTTCAATAGCCATTACCGGACACGAAAGCAAGATGGGAAATGCATATGCAAAGCAACAGCTTTCAAGGATGTGCCTAAGCCAACTACCTGGAAACAGGCATCACTTTATTATCTACAACACAGAGTGCTTCCTTTTCAGAGCTTTCTGAGCTAGAAGGGTTAAGTTAAAGCAGCAGTGGGCAATAATTTTTTATGGGATGCCACTCCAAGATTTTGGAAAGTGGTCGAGGGCCACACTCTTCAATGGTGCTAATGGAGATGTGGGGTATGGATTGGAGGTTGGGTGCAGGAAGGGAGTTTGCGGTGTGGGACTGGGGTGCAGGAGGGAGACTGGAGTCTTGGAGGGAGTTTGGATGAAGCAAGCGGTTGTGACCTAGGACAGGGGGCTGGAGTGCAGGGGTTTGGGATGTGACCTAGGGGAGAAGGGGATTGTGATCTGGGGCAGGAGATTGGGGTGCCAGATCTGGGAGGGGGTATGGGTATCAGAGGGGGACAGAGGGTTCGGGTATGTTGAGTGGGAGGGAGGGGCACAGAGTTGGGGCAGGGTTTGGGTTGGTTGAGTGGGAGGAGAGCGCAGAGATTTGGGGCAGGAAAGGGCTGGGTTGCCAGAAGCAGACTAGGGCAACTGACAAGTAAGTCTCTTGGCCAAACTAGCCTGCCTGCCTCCCTGCCGAGCTTAAAATGTTTCCCAGCCAGCCAGCCAGCCTGCTTACCTGGCCACGTACTTCAGTGAATAACTGAGCCCAGGAGAGGGGGCGTGATTCTTCTTAGGTGCCTGTTATTCTAACAAGCAGCTCCTATTGGCTGGTTTCTGCCAGAAAACCGGCCAATGGGAATCTGCTGGAGGCAGGGCAGCTCTTAAAACTTCCCCCTCCCCTCCAATTTCAAAACAGAAATGGAGCGCTGCAGCCACTTTTCTGCATGGCGCATGGAGCTGCAGGGCAAGCAGGGAAGCCTGCCTGGGGCTCCCCACCGCCTTAGTGGGCCAGATCTAGCTCACGGGTTGTATTTTGCCCACACCTGAGTTAAAGAGTTGGTTTCCACCAGACTAGGCTGTTCAGCTTGACATGGCAACAATTCCACAGATCACTGTACCACAGCTTAATCTCTCAGCCGCCTGGCTGACAATCACAAACAGCCAATTTATAAACTCTTGCAGAATAGCTACGTCAATCCCAAGAACTCAGAGGCTCCAGAGAACTCTGCATGCCACGGATTTGCAGGACTGGCACCAAATTTATTTACTAGGAGAACCCCACAGCCCCAGCCAGAACTATGGATGTGGTCTGACAACCGCTGATCCAAATTTTGGAGACTGAAAATAATTATATAGAGACCATGACAGATTATTAATAGGCAGGTGAGAATGTCAATGTTTTGAAAGCACGCGCAACTACAATGCAATGAGAAACATACACCAAGTCACAAAGGCAGTAGGGGCTAAATCTGACAACTCCGTCCTTGTTGGTCAGGCCAAGGCGGTGGAGGGAGTCCGCTCGAAGCATCAGAAGAAAGTCAAATGCCTGCAACAGAGAAGATGTCTCGCTGCATTCTGGAATGACTCAAAACCTCTGGGGATGGACTATTCCCCCAGCCCCTCACCACCCAAGCTGTTGTCATTTCTGGCCAGCAAGAAGATTCCCTCGCATTGGGACTTCCATTCCCCAAACTCCTCTGCTATGGAAATGATTATACACAGGACCATCAGAGAACTAACATTTGACACCTGCACTGATTGTTCTATGGCTACAGAGGCACAGAACAACCCTAGAACACTAGAGCTGAAAGGGATCTCGAGAGGTCATCGAGTCCAGCCCCCTGCCCTCACGGCAGGACCAAGCACCGTTTAGATCAGTGTTTCTCAACCTGTTTTTTATAAGTACCCCTTTAAACACACACACACACACACACACACACACACACACACACACACACACAGTACCCCCAGTGCCTACAGTTTTCAGACAAAAAATTTTTTCAACCATTGCAACACATTTGTTTAAACAACTTAATCGTAGCCAGATGGGGTGATGAAATGTTTGGGTGTAAAAAGTACAAAAATAATAAAAGCGCTGTAAAACTTAAAACACAAATTCATTTTTCTCCAAATTTCAGTTGTGTTGACGTACCCCGCTCCCCTGGAGTTACCCTGAGGGTACTCGTACCACTGGTTGAGAAACACTGGTCTAGATCATCTCTGATAGATGTCTGTCTAGCTGCTCTTAAATATCTCCAGAGATGAAGATTCCACAACCTCCCTGGGCAATTTATTCCAGTGTTTCACCACCCTGACAGGTAGGAAGTTTTTCCTAATGTCCAACCCAAACCTCCCTTGCTACAAAGTAAACAGTATAAACTAACTCCCAATCTTCTTAGGAGACAATCCATACCTGCAATCTGATGCTGCTAGCAACCGGGAGGCGATAAGTGTTCTTATAGTGGAGCTGGATGTGATTAATAAGCATCTCATACACCCGAGTGGCATGGCTGGCAGGCAAGCTGTAGAGCTTCGTCTGTAGAGGCACAGAACAACAGTCAACTGACACACTGAAGGTTTACTTGTTAACAGCGTAACCTTTCTTTTGTCCAATCGGCATCAACCCTTCTTGCAGACTCTGGGGCAAGGGTCAGAGTAGGCTGAACGTTATTCCTCCACAGGAGGCATAGGGAAAGGGAGCTCCCATGATGTGCCTTGGACACTCCCTGGGATCACACCCACATGAAATCCCCAGACAGATCCAACTCTCACTTTAGAAGTGAGTGCAGCATGGACACCAACGTGAGAGTGGCAAGTTTGGCCTTCTGTGTGTGAATTACCTGAAGACGACACTGCTTGGAGGGATAATGCTAACTCCTCGGAGGCTGCTAATAACAAACAAACAAACAAAAACAAAAAAAAAAGGGAGGGCAGGCCCTGGGATAGCCAGAGAAAGTGGGGTGTGGCTCCTGGCAGGCCAAAGTCACTTAGGACTGCTCTTGTGACATTTCAGCCATCTTCTAGAGTGAGTGTCTGGCGATACAAGAGACCTGGGTAGTTTTTGCCCTAGACAGACACTGAGTTAGTGAGACTACTGCTGAGAAATGCAGACCCCCAGACAAGTTACGGGGGGTGGATTTGGACCTGGAGATTTGAATCTTTGCCGTTGGGATTTTAAAAGACTCAGATTTGAGAATCCGGTTCTGGCTCCTTTCTAGCTGGCCCTTCGGAACATAGCAGCAAAATATTCACACTGATGACATGCTGGTCAGGAGCAGGTAAAGATGCAATACACTGTCTGTAAGGTACCCGGTCAAGAAGTGAACAAGCTCAACCGTAGCTAAAATCTCCCCTATCATGTCAAATTAAGGAGCGAGAGAAGTGACTCATCTACAAAAAGTTACAGAAGAGAAAGAATTTGCTCTTGGGGACTGACCGGCCAGTAAACAAAACCCTAGAGAAAATTGTTTTAAGGGAGGGATTTTTAAACACTTCACAATGTTACCTGCAGAATTATCAGGAGGCCTAGCACGGCTGTTTTCACATCCTCTGAAGAAGCAGAATATGCTAGCAAGTCTGTCTCCTCTGGCTCAACAGGAACTGAAAGCGAACGTGCAGACACCTTTAAAAAAAAAAAAAAAGAGCGAGAGAAATTCCCTTTAAAATCCACACTGATCACAATGAGGCATCTACTTAATTCCAAGCCAATAAGTCACAAAGGGCCAGAATAAATGGTCCCGCTCAGTCTCCTAGTAGTGTAGATTAGCTTGGATGGGCCTTAGCAGAAGCGGGAGGCACTTCTGAAGCACGTTTCTGCTTTTCTTTAGAACTCTGGTTTCCTCCAAAATCCAGGAATCCTACTGAATCCCCTCAGATCATACAGCTAACTGTCTAGCTTCCCTGGTCTCCTGTGAGGGGATCGGATCAGAGGTGGAAAGGAAGTTACAGTGTCATGACTGAGCAAACACAGCCTCACCTTTTCGATGATATTGAGCAAGCTGTCGAAGTGATGTGTATTGCAGCCCTCGGCCAGGTCCACCAATAGCTGGGTGGCCAGTTTTCGAACTTGGTGATCTTTGTCCTCTGGAATGTGGCCCAGCTGTGAGATTACCACCAAGTTAATCAGCTCCTCCTGTAAGAGGACAGACCAGGAGACATTCTGCTGAACACTTATTAGCGAGATAACCAAACCGTGTTGCCATGATGAAAAGAATCGCGAGGTCGTAGCAGCTTTAGTCTTCCTAGCTGGTTGTTTGGTCTGCTGGCTGCCTTCCCCCAGACTCTTGAATATCTTTCGATGTCATCTCTCCAAATATTTGGGCTATTGTTGAATTTGGACTCAGCAGCGTAGGTCTTTTTTCCATCTGACTAAAGCTTTGTAGCTCAGCTTTAACAGACCATATCCACATGGGATTCACAGGCCTTGCAGTTCAGAAAGACAGGAGACAAGGAGGCGGCAGCCAGTTTAACAGAACTGATCTGAGCAGTGCCTCTCCCGCATTCTCCGTGTGTCTGACTCGAGGAAGACATTCCTTCAAGTTAGCAAGCGAACCAGTGCAGGGACCAGTGAACTCTGCTTACCACAGCACCTGCTCACTTAGATTTCAACTAAGATGGAAACTCGGAGCAGCCAATCCACTGATGTCAGATAAGAGCTTGACGTCCTCTTGGCATGTGCTAAATCTTGCCACTATCCAAACCAGATTAGATCTCCCATTCCAAAAACTATTTTAAAAAACATTTTTTTTAAAATAAAATGCATAGAATTGACAGCCTCGTTGGTAAGCCTTAGGACAGGGAAAGACAGTACCTAGGGATGCTAGACAGCGGGTAATAGAATAGTCAAGTAACCGCATGAATTCTTATCAGTTACTCAACTCTTCTATAGTCCCCAGGAGCGAGGCCGGCAGCCAGATTGCTCCAGCCCTACTCCTGGGGAGGCCCCTGTCATCCTGTGCTGCTGCCTCAACAAGGGGTGCCAGGTGGGAGCCAGCATAAAAATCAGCTCCTCTAACAGACTGACTGCCTGCCGCCCCACACTGCTGCCTCTAACACAGAGTTAGCAGCAACTGTCTGCGGGGGTCTGAGCTCCCGACAGACAGAGGCTACTGCGGAGGGACGGGAGGGCAGGTTGCTGCGAAGCAGCCCTGTCCGCAGGCAGTCCAAGCTCCCCACAGAAAGGCAGGCTGCTGCAAAGCCCCCCGACCTCCTGTGCTACTGCCTGATCGAGACAAAAACCGGGGGGTGGGGAGGGAGGGGGCATGGCATCATGGAGCCAGTGCTGGAGGGATCCGGCTTTTAAGCCAGGTCCCCCCAGTACCAGCTTCTGCTTCTCCTCCCTCCCCACCTTGTGGCCTCTGATACAGAGACAGCAAGGGGAGGGGAAATGCAAGCAGTTGAGAAGATTACCCGTATCCTCGACTACTTGTTTACATCCCTAACAGTAATCACAAGATGTACAAAGTGAACATTAAAAATGCACGCTGTCAAAAAAGAGAGACGCTAATATCAATTCCCATTGTACATACAACGGATCAATGAAACAAACACAGCTATGGACTGGGGATGTTAAATATACTTTAATCAACTAATAGTCAATGGACAGGAGCTGCTGCCGCAAAGCAGCCTCTGCCCGCGACAGGCCAAGGCTCCCCTGCCCCCTCCCCTCACGCTGGATCTTCTGTCAGCTAGTCGATTAGTCAATACGCTGGGGAGCCTACGTTCCTAATACATTTAAAAGGCTGGAGCTCAGCAGGGGACCTGGTGGGAGCCGGGAATCAGGTGTCCCAGCTCATGCTGTGTCCCCCCTACTGCATTTCTGATCTTTAAATGTATTAAGAGCTGGCATGCTCTTAATATGTTTAAAAAGCAGAGGCACAGCGCCCTGTCCCCCCAGTCCTCGCAGAGATGGTGCTGGGGGGAAACCAGCATTTAAACTGGCTCCTGCTTCTCCCTGCCCTTGCTGACTCTGGATACAGAAGCAGCAAGTGTGTGTGTGGGCGGGGGAGCTGTGGAAAACACTAACAGGCAAGTCCTTTCAGTCACATTGCAGACACATGTAATTACTGTGTCCTGCATGTTCAGGACAGTTGGACTCACTCTTCAAAACTGCATAAAACTGACCTGAAGAACTAACACTAAGGTGAGCCAATTTTCCTACTGCTGAATACAAGACACCTGGTAAAATTACTCCGAATCAAGCTAGTTCAATGGCAATCCATCAGAGCAATGACATAAACGTTCAAACTCATGTCAAGCAGACTAGGCCCCTGTTCAAACGAAATACCATGTAGTTGGATTCTTTGTATTAACCTTTTCTTTATGGCTTCAGGGTTCACGTGGGGAGAAGTTACACACACACACACCCACACCCACACACACACACCCCTTACACAGGGGAGGTGACCGACTGACCCAACCATCCCTGACCAGCGCTGGGCAGGAAAGTTTGGAGTTTTCCCAGGGTGCCAGCTCAGCCAGTGACTGAGCGAAGGAGGGAACCTGCCGGCCACACAGCTGCTGAATCAAGCGTTCCAACTAAAAGCTGTTTCTCCGCATAGTGCCTGGAGAAGGACACACCTGGCAGGGGAGACAGAGAGGAGCAGGGGGGGGGGGGGGGACGGGATGGGCAAAGCAGTGAGAGGAAGAACATGTAAAGGGACCCATGGGTGGGCAGTAACGACAACACCGGACTGGCTCACACTCATCAGCCACCGTTGTGCAAACCCCCTGACTAAATATCAATAAAAATACAAACCTCATAAAACTGTCTGTTAATGCTCAGGACAAAAGACAAGACATCTAGGACTTTAATCCGAACTGCACTACGATGCTCGTTCCTAAAAAGGGAAAAAACAAACCCCAAAACAGGTAAGGACGGGGACAGAGACCAGGTTGGGGCAAACGTCCTTTTTCTGGGTTAAAATCATTACAGACAAAGGCCGCGTGAACCTTCAATGAATGGTCCCTGGGTACGAAGTTGCAACATCAAGCAGACGCGGTGCTAATGTTAAGGAAAAACTGGAGGCTGTCTAGGAAAAGAGGAGTTCCTGCTGTAGCACAGGGCAGCCATACCAGGGACAGTAAAATGTGTTTATTTTTGAAAACGTGTAACCGCTAAAATTTACAGCCAGGTAGGAGCTGGTGCTAGTGGGAAGCTGGGTCTGATACAGAGGCAGTGGGGAGAGGAGGCCTGCATGTAACCATTAAGAGAAACCAATGAGCCCAGACTCATCAGTTAATCATGCAATCGGGAGCACATTCACATCAAAAAGCCCTAGCCATATCCAAAACTTACAGAGTCAACGAGGAAGAGCATGTGTGATTGAAATAGATGCTCCATGCCACACACTTCAGAACCACGTACACTGGGGGTAAAGTGGTCTTTTCCCTGACTGTTTAAAAGGAGACGGATTGCTATATATGGGGATCGCTCGACAGTACGAAAGCACATTCAGGGAATTGCCACTGGACGGTAGCTGGTAGTTTGGGGCTCTGCAATCTCAAACATGCCTGTAGTTCTGACCCCAAGCAAGGCAGCCATGCAACGGAGCCTAGGACAGACAATGAGAGAGGGGACATATCCCACGGCCACCCTCCACTGTTAAAAGATGAAGGATTAAAAAAGCCTTAACAGGACGTTTGTGTTCCATTGACTAGGCAAAAATCAAATCCTGCATCCTGGAATCATCATCATCATATTTCAGTAGCTATTAACGGGCCTGAAGGGCTCCAGAAAGTAAGATTCTTTTAACATGGTCCATTAAACATGCTATGGGTTGAACCTCCCTAGTCCTAGTTCAAACAGTCCAACACACTGAACCAAGCTTTTATTTTTTGAAGCTGTAATTTCCTACCTGAAGTATCTCTCCATTAGCACCTGCAGGTTCTGTATCCAGCCATCCTTGGCAGGGTGAATGGATTGAGCTCTGTACGTGATTAAGTTGAGTAGAGAAGATTCCTTTAAAAGAAAACGTAAGAATGGTCCAGTACTCACATACAGGGCATGCCTCTCTTGTCCCCTCCCTCCAAGAACAGGTCTCAAGGGGCTGTGAAGTCTTAGGGGGGCGTTATA